TCCCTTAGCTTTAGAATGGTGATGCTAATGAAGCGCGAAAGCTAATTGCAATAATGCTAACCAGCAGCCATGTGGAAAACTCATATGATTCTTAAACAAACCAGATGCTGAGTCACTGTGCTAACCTTGATGTGGTGGGAGTTTCCCCTGTTTGTCAGCCTGCAACAGAGCGCAGTCATCCTCAAAGAGCAATGCTAATCATGCTATCACTGCAAAAATAGGTTACCCTCTCCTCCAGGAAATGACAGAAAGTATGAAGGTTGTTTGATCCACTACTTGAAGCTAAAACGACTAGAAACATGAACATGAAGTAGGCCTACTGTTGCCATTCAGAGTTATTTTATGATAATTTACCACACGTCTTGCATAATATCTAACTGTGGTGTTTTTATAAAGACTGTAGAAGGTAGACAAATGATCTATATATAGTAAAAAGCTATGGTCTGATACAATGTTATTTCTTCTGATAGGCCTAAGTAAGCATTGCTGTTTTGTGACTGCTGGTAGCCTAAATACAGTTAAAAACTATGTTTGCAAAATACAGTATATTTCCTTAATCAGTTTTTAGTACGAGTCTACAACATGGCATGGTAAAACATAGTAAATGTGCATTAGTCTCTCCATACAGTTCATACTGCTTATATTTAATACCACTGAACAGTTTGAGGTTGATAAGATGTTTTAAACGTTCTTAAAATAAGTCTCTCATGCTCAACAAGGGTGCATTTATTTAATCAAAAGTACAGTAAAAACATTGAAATATTATTAGAATTTTTAAACAATGTTTCTATTTTATTGTATTACAAAATATAATTTATTCCTGTTATGCATTTTCAGCAGCCTCTTCCCCAGTCTTTAGTGCCACACGATCCTTTAGAAATCATTCTGATGTCAAATTAAATCATTATGATGATTTGGTGCTTAAGAAACATTTATTATCAGTGTGAAATGAAAAGTTGCTACTTAATATTTTGTATTATATATTTGTATTTGTATATATAAAACTTGTAATATCTGCACAGCTATATGATGCGGCTTATTTTGCAGTGCTTAATTCGCAGACAAGAGGCATGTTCATTGCTTTGATTGAGTAGATGTAGTTAATTAAGGAAGGCACCATCTGTAATATATCTTGCTGTGCAATTTTAGTCACAGCTTCTGAATCGCTATGGAGAAATTACACTAAATCAGAGAGAACGCCTCGCCAGTGCCGATCACTCCAGCAACGGCGCTCATATCAGTTGTGTTATTTATTACGAAGTTCGTTTCAGTTTGAAAGTCACTCATTAGTGGGATTGTGAGGAAAGTAATTGATGTGCGCTGGCAGGCAAGACACTTCCACGTTTGCCACATCCATAATCTTTCCGTATTTGGAGGGAGTGAGAGCGGATAAGAGACGGAGCGTCATATTAAGGGCACCCCTGCAGGATCCAAGAAGGAGACAGATGACATATGCTGATTTGGTGCTCAAGAAACATTTATTATCAATGTGAAATGAAATGTTGCTGCTTAATATTTTGTATTATTTGTATGTATTTGTATTTGTATATATAAAACTAGTAATTTATGTATATGTATATCTATATGATGTGGCTTATTTTACAGTGTTTAATTTGCAGACAAGGGGCATGTTCATTGCTTTGATTGAGTAGATGTAGTTAATTAAGGAAGGCACCATCTGTAATATATCTTGCTGTGCGATTTTAGTCACAGCTTCTGAATCGCTATGGAGAAATTACACTAAATCAGAGAGCACGCCTCACCAGTGCCAATCACTCCAGTAACGGCATTCATATCAATTGTGTTATTTATTACGAAGTTCGTTTCAGTTTGAAAGTCACTCATTAGTGGGATTGTGAGGAAAGTAATTGATGTGCGCTGGCAGGCAAGACACTTCCACGTTTGCCACATCCATAATCTTTCCGTATTTGGAGGGAGTGAGAGCGGATAAGAGACGGAGCGTCATATTAAGGGCACCCCTGCAGGATCCAAGAAGGAGACAGATGAACATAAATTAGCTGTGTGTAAAACAGGCAGCGTTTGTAATCTCACAACGTAATTGGGCTCGCTGGTTTGCCAGAGACAGATGACAGGGATGTAATGACAGTCTTCATTTATCTTCTTTATTGTGGTGAAATGCGTTGGCAGCGTGAGACTGGTGCCGGTCCAGATGAAGGAAATGTTACGTTGTGCTATCATCCCCGTCAACAACAACCCACATTGCTGATTTACACACTCAGACATAGCATGACTCAGCCAGTTCGTTAGGGGTGGCAAGATTGCCGGCAGGTCTAACTAAAGGCTGAGAGAGAAAGGGTGAGCGCTCATCCCAAGACTTCACGGTCCTAACTGGCTTCCTCCAGCAGTTTCCTCCTCAGGCTCGGTTCCTCCTTCCTCTCGCTCCTGTTTTAGCCTGTTGTTCTTGTTCTCAGCAGCCCATTAACGTGCACCTTTTCGTCTCTCCTTCTCTCCACTTCTTATTTCTTTTTTATCTCTTTCTCTGAGCTGAAAAGAGCCAAAGGCCAAGAGATAGACGACTAAGTCTAGAGACAACCTCAGAGTTGCATTCCTGCATAGGAAAGTGATTCACATGTTTTCCTCACATTCGCATGCACACAAACATATACAATGAGCTGTGCTCAGAGAGCTGTCTGAGAATATGGATAATATTGATTTGAAATACTTGGCACAGACATTGCAATGTCGTTTTGAGTTATAATCTTGCGTTCTTTCCTTTGTAGCAGTATTTCCTATTGAAACAACTTACTGAAGGGATTTAGTCTTTTTTTTTTTTTTTTAAATAGCCAATTGGTTATAGTTACATCATAGACATGAAACATGATTTGCTTCTTGGTAGTTGGTTGCATTTAGTGTTAGGGTAAGGGACAATCTCATAATAGAGATATTTGATTGGACAAAAATCTGTGTAGTGCAGAATGGGTCATCAATTATTATTATATTTCTTTATATTTTTTTCTCAGATTTTCCAGAATTTCAAAGTTTGTATATGTGTTTGAAAGTAAATTTTGTGAACTTGTAGGAGTACACTAGCATATACACTGACCCTTTTTCATTTTCTTATGCTCGTATGCTTACAGAAGGTGTATTTATTTGAATAAAAATACAGTAAAACAGTAATATTATGAAATATTATTACTATTTAAATAACTGTTCTCTATATTTATAATTTTTAAAATGCAACTTTTTCCTGTGATGGCAAAGCTGAATTTTCAGCATTCATTACTCCAGTGCTCAAGAAACATTTCTTCTTATTATTAATATTGTGAAGGAAACAGTGATACTTTTTCCCAGGATTCATTGATGAATAGAAAACTCAAAAGAATGGCACTTGTTTAAAAAATGGCATCTTTTGTAACATTATCAATGTTGTTAATGTGACAACTTTTTGAACTTTTGAGAATGGTAATACGATGGTAATACTTTTGACGGCTTTATTCAGATGAAAAGATATATATATACATTTATCGTAATAATTTTAGATGAGTTTGCGAGCCGGAGCGGTATAGCTGAGCACACAGAATCTAATGATCTGCAGTCATCATCACGGTGAATTATGGTCAGAATAAGCATTTGAAAAAATAAATGCAGAGCCGAGCCACACAACAGTCATCAGACCGGAGTTGGCCTTGGAGAATTGCCAGCACTGACATCCAAACACACATTTACTTTGATTAATTAGCCTCAAATGTCATTAGCACACTCGGTTCCTGCACTGAAACCATTGTAATGTTTGATTAACTGATATCATATGTGGAGCAGCGCCGTTTTATTGGCAAGTAAACGGCAACCTAAACCAGATGTGACTAGATGTGAGCTTTTTTTCCTTTTTGCAGTCCTGTGGTGTGACAAATGAATTAAAAATACAATTCCATATAGAGAATGTGGTCATAAACTGCATGCGTAATATAAAATCATTAGAATAATGCTGTTTAAAATGGTTTTAGATGAATTATAGCATGTCACACCACAGGACACTGCTTGCCATCTTCCCAAATTCAGTCGTGGGTTCACTTTGTCCCATGAAAGTAATACAGCTATGACGCACCAGCCAATCATTTTGAGTCTGTCTGTGAAAAAAACGTATCATAAAGACTTATGATATGACAGGACTGCTTAAATGAAGCAAACAAGTTGTCTTTTCATACTGGCTAGATCCTGTACATGAAAGTATTGTTCCACAGTGAAAGACAGTCTCCTGAGAAATGTGGATTTGAAGACAAAAAAATTGTAGATTTATATAAAGGAAAGAAAAGCAAAGGGAGGAAAGGGAGCTAAGGACTTGGCTTATAATCCCCCAGAGAGGGAAATAAAGTCTTTCAAGAAATAAACAAGTAAATAAAATCACTCACTGCTGGTGATGGAAATACCAAGTCAGTTGCCATAAAATGGTAACGGCATGAGAAAAGGGCTCATGATGAGGATTTCTGGACTGTGAATTAAATTGGCCAGTTTTTATGGTTTATTACAAATGTGCATTTTTGGCACTATTTGAACACAATGGTTAATATAAAACAACAAACAATGTATAATTGTCAGGCTTCTCACAAAACAACTGTATACTCGCAAATCTGACTAAACATTCAGGAAAGAATGACTGGCCGTGAGATTTCTGAGATTTTCCCACTGCCGTTCATGCTTTTTTTTCTTCTTTTAGTCGGAACGGTAACTCAGCAACAGCACCTCAAGCCATATTCTGTATAAAAATGAAAGATGGATTTTTTTTTAATCCATTCGTGTGTTCTGAGATGTGTGAGGAAGAATAACTTGTGAGTTTTGACATTTGTTCAGTCCATTCTCTTTTGTTGACTTGCACAAATCTGCTGGAGTTGGTTTATCCCCATTTATTATTTAAAACACCGCAGAAGTACTTTCTCATGAGTAAACAATTTCTGGCATTATTCATTACTATGCTAACTAGACAACTGTTACAATAATAATAGATATGAATGACTGTTTTCTCATTTCTTCTTTCCCTGTAGCTTCATTCCGATGTGGACAAAGGTGAGGGCAATGTAAAATACGTGCTCAATGGCGAAGGTGCAACATCTATTTTCACCATCGATGAGAACACAGGCGACATACATGCCACGAAGCGCCTGGACCGGGAGGAACAGGCCTACTACACACTACGAGCTCAGGCCAGAGACCGGGCCACCAACCTGCCAGTAGAACCAGAGTCAGAATTCGTTATCAAAGTGCAGGATATCAATGACAATGAGCCCAAGTTCCTGGATGGCCCTTACAATGCTCAAGTACCTGAAATGTCTCCTGTTGGTAAGTGCCTTGGATTTGTTTATACAAAACAAATCATCAAAGAGTGATGTTAGGAATACACAATATATCTGCAGATTTTTAAAATGATTTATTAATATTGGTTGATTTTGGACATTCAATTGTGCTTGCTCATTTTCTTTAAGTAAGTGTTAGATGGCAAATGTATTCTAAACATAATAAAAACACTAATAAACTTAAGGCAAGACACTATAGGCAAAAACATTTTTTTTCATTCACTGGTCAATTTTGAGGTTTTGGCTTGTCATAATATGTTGTTTCATAGTAGCAGAAAGAAAACATTCAAAATACACTTTTAAGTGTTTATTTGATTGCACTTTGTCTATTTACCGCATATTTAAATTACAATACATATTTAAGTTTTTTTTCCTCATGCACTGGGCAGCACTTATATACACCAAACTTTACAGTTTTATACCTATCTGTATTCTAAAGGTTTTGACTGAGGGGTTTGTTCATATATCATTTGCCTGGATTTATACAACATTTTATTCGTTTATTCTTTTTTTCTGTCTGTTGACAGTATTCTCTGATTTATGGAGTGATAAAAAGAGATATCCAAAATCCTTTGACTCTAATATGTCAACAAAATAAAAGCAAGAATTTTGGCTTTATCAAGTGTTGAGATTTCTGTTTTGGAAATGTATTCAAATAAGTGTTTAATTAATTAGATAATGCCTCATTTGCATCTTTACACATTCCATTTCAGAAAACTTGCAATACAAAAATTATTTTGCGGTTTTTAATGTAATCAATCAGCTGAAGAAGGTGATACCTATTAGTAAAAAAAAATATTGGCATATTCACCTGAGGTGTCTTGCCTTAATAACAATAGCTGTTAAGTTTATCTTTAGCAAATCTCAAAATGAATAACCTTTTTTTTACTGTTTTATTTTTAAATTAAATTGACAAAATATTATATCATTTATCAATAATCAGTTAAAAAGATTAAACAAATATCAGTTTATCATATCAGCCAGGGTATAAATATTGGTGCATCCATACCAGATATTTTGACATTCAATTTCATGATGATTATTGGTAATTGTGTCACGTATTTGTTTAGCTATTGAGGGTTTGCTGTGGATCACCTAAGAACAGTGATATACATAATGAATGCCCTTAGTACGAGGCACTTGTTTGTCAGTTCGACCACGCGGAGCATAGTAGCTGACAATCACGCAAGCATTGACATGCTTTTTTTAGAAGAGCAATTAACATGCTGGCTGCCACTGTCTGTCCGACGGCGTGAACAAAGCCATTAGCCTCTGTGAATGCAAGCGACCCTTGTCCTCAATGACTGCTTTATAGATCCATTTAAATTCATTAGCAGTCAACCGGTGATGAATGGATTTGATTAACGAGAAAATGATTAATTTAATTTGGTAATTAAGAAACAGGAGATTGTTTGCAAGTGTGAGGACCACAACCTAACCCAGACACCTCTCCCTCCAGCCAGACGTCAGCATGAGGCCGAATGGAAATTCACAACATATGCCTTATACTCCCAGCCAATCATTTTCACACATTGCGGTTTCGCTATGATGTGTATTTAAGGGCTGACCATATTAACTGGCTATAAATGTACCCGCCTGTTGAATCTAAAGAGTCTGAAATGATTCTGCAGAGGTACAAGGTTACCTATAAGAGATGAAATCACATTGCGCCATCAGATAAAGAGTAACACTCATTTGGCCTCGGTCCCTGCGGTGAGGTGTTGCCATGGTGCTGCGTTTTTGTACACTCATCTGTGCCTCCAGATGCTTAGGTTACTAATATGACAACATCTGGGCCTGTCCCCAAATGTCTCCTTTACTTTTTTACAAGCAAACACATTTAAGGATAATCTGCATTTCTGAGGAACACCGCAGTCTGGAGTGGTCTGTAAATTGCGCTCAAATAAAGGCCTGGCACATTCCATTAGCCATTTTACAGTTTAAATCAAATCTGGGGGAAATATCAGTAAGCCAGTAAAGCAGAGCTAAACTTCCCTTTGTGCTCCAGTTCTACAGATTAAATGACAACGTATAGAATCTACACTACCTTTTAAGCTTTTGAAAGAAATTCTTACTTATATTTAGCTGTGATGCATTAAAACATTTACAAGACTTTCACTTTTTTATTTTTACCAAAAATAAATCCAAAATTCTGTTCTTTCTATTCATCAAAGACTCTTTAATGTATCACTTTTTCACAAAAATATCAAGCAGCACAACTGATTTCAACTGTGATAATAATGAGAAATTTTCTTGAACACTAAATTAGCATATTGGAATGATTTCTGAAGGACACTGAGTAATGGCTAATGAACATTCAGCTTTGTTTTCACATTATATTTTAAAATATATTAAAATATAAAATAGTTATTTGAAATTGTAATTATATTTTAGAATATCATGGTTTTAATGTGTTTTGGCCAAATATCAAATAAATGCAGGGACGTCTTTCAAAAACAATAAAAGTCTTACTGTCCCCAAACTTTTGAAAGATACTAAATGCTGCAGATATCACTGTGAAAAAAGCAGTAAAAACAATAGAAAATCACTATAAGCAGTGTTGGGGATTAACTAGTTACATGTAACGGAATTACGTAATTTAATTACAAAATAAATGTAACTGTAATCTGTTGCAGTTACTCAGAAAAAATGTGCAATTACATTAAAGTTACTTAAGAAAATGTTAAGGATTACAAAGGGTGTTACATCTGAATATTTTCACACACACATACAGATATGATTGATTTCTTTCCCAAATTGCATTGACTGTTTTAAAATATGAGACACCAATGTTTTAGGAGTTTAGAACACAGAATAGGACACATGCTTATTCAATAACTGTTTTATTTTCTATCTGGGTGGATGTATATGCTTTATGAGATTAACTGTTTCCCCCCCCCAAAGGCATTGTTAGATGCCAGTGTTTCCTGTCATAGCTATGCAAAGATTTGATTCCAAAAACAGTATCATAGCACTTAGATTCTTGTTATGATTTCAAATCTGTATTTTACCTCAGAACAATCTCAAAGTAAAAAGCGTTGTTAAATTCTGATTTTGTGGTGGCTGTGTTTTAAAATTAAATTATTATAATCTTTATTCAAGTGAAGAAGGCGTTTGAAAGTCTGACTGTAATCAGTGTTGAGTACTACTGTAAGGTTTACCCTGCCTGCTTTAAATTATTTAAAATGATTAACAGTTGAAAACATTGTTTGAAATTTAGAAAAGTAATCAAATGTAATCAGTTACATTACTTTAAAAAAGTAATTTAAATAGTTACGCTACTTATTGCATTTTAAATAGGGTAACTTGTAATCTGTAACCTATTACATTTCCAAAGTAACCTTCCCAACACTGACTATAAGATAAGGAAAAGCAAGTGCAGGCCACATACAGAATTGTGTTTAAAGTGTGTGTTTGGCTTACGATTAGATTTGTTTTGTCCTTCTGGGCTTTTTGCAAGGATGCATGGCTTAATGAGAACTGAGGCAACACCAGCTCTGTACTCTGTAATCAAGACAGGCACAAGAATACAAAATACTGCAGAAGTCAACACAAGATATGTTTCTATCTGAGTAACGTTGTTAATGGATGCAAAAAATGTGAAAAACAATCGTGAAAATTATTTACGGCTAAAGCAGCGTTTCCATCCCATGTGTTCAAGAGAACATAATCGTAATTTCTGGGGAAATTGACACACAATTGAAATGAAAGTTGTTGTCACTAGGGAAGCCACTGTGGCTCTTTTATTAAATGTAATTACTTCCAAAACGCTCTAATGAACTTCATGTATGCTAGCGATCAGCGGCAGATGCCTCGTTTCTGTGACTGACAGCATGTCAGATTGTTCAGGGAGGCAAGAGAAGCCTCTTTTAATGCATATCACAGGAATAAATTACATTTTATATACTATATTAAAAATGGAAAACATTTATCTAAAGTTGTAATAATATTTCCATATTATTGTTTTTACCATATTTTTGATCATATAAATACAGCCTTGGAGAGACTTCTTAAAATCTGCTGGAACAGAACAATAGACATCTACTTATGTGCATCCTAATGTTTCTTTATTGGTTTACTTGAGCCTGTTCATGTTTTCGTGATAGGCTACATCAGATTTCAGATCTGTAATCAAGTGAGGCTCAATGCCAATGCATGTCTGGTACCATTTGACGAAATTGCGTGGATAATTTGTTCCAGGCACATCTGTAGTTGAGGTTAAGGCGACTGACGCAGATGACCCCACATATGGAAACAGTGCCAGAGTCGTGTACAGCATCCTTGAAGGACAACCCTACTTCTCAGTGGACCCAAAGACAGGTACGCACAAATTACAAATGCTTATTCAATTGCAGCTAAATATTTAAGCACTAAAATCTTATCCAGCAGCAAGATTTTGAGTCATTCTCACCAATCAAGCTCTTTAGGTAAACAGTGTACAATATCTAATTCAGATTCATTTCTAAAAAAAAGAAAAGCACCACACGCTTTCTGTTGTCACTTGAGCGACAAGTCTTTTCAAAGCGGTAACCACAAATTCCTGTAATGGAAACATGCAAACGTCAAGAGACCGCTATTTTGATTGACTCACTTAAAGACAGAAAAAGTTGATGGGACTTGTGATGAAGTTACTGGCGCACATTACCACCTGATTACAGAGAATGAAATCCTTAATGTAATCAGCACTCTAGCTGTAACTGAGGTCATTTCCACATATGGACTCAATCAACAGGGTAAATTACAAACCTTGATTAAACTTTTTCTCCTTTTTCTTTTAAAGTGTGCGGCTAATTTTAGAGATGCCACCACAACATGTGGAGGAAAATGAATATATAGCAAATAGCAGTGCTTATTGATTAGGATTTATCGTAGCTTCCTGTGCACAAAAGGAAGTATGTACTATTTAATCACTCTCGGATGTGCCAAGCTATGATAATTCCAAAACTAACAATGATTTGGAGAGGAAATTGATTTACAGTCCTGTACTGGCTTCAGTGAATTTGACTCATCAATGAGAGATCCATTATGATATGGCCTAACAAATCTGGAAAAGGTCCTTCCTATTTTAATTGATGCACACTCCATCTCCCTATGATGCAGAGGGGAAGTGATCCATATTGTAATCTAGATGCTTTATCGGGTAACGCTTTAAATTACAACCCGCAAAGAACTATGTGAGTATACTGAATTTACGGTGTACGTTTCTGTAATTATAGTGTACCTATAAAGAACATACGTGTAGGTATAAGGGAACAATGTGTTACGTTTGGGTAATAAGGAGGTAACAGCCAGATATGCAACCTGCAAAGAACTGCGTAAGTAAACTGAAGTTACAGTGTAACTTTTTTGTAATTATAGTGTACCTATTCAGTACCTCCGTGTAGGTATAAGGGAATAATATGCGAAGTTTGGGTAATCTAAAGTGTTACCCTTTATCGCAGCATTTACAGGCCAGGAGGATGTTATCATTACACAGTACATCTCATGCATCAACAACCCCCCATGTTTCTTACATTTTAATCAACACTAGACAACAGGACGTTTAGGAAAACAATTCAACTTTTTCTGTGCAGGCATTGTGAGGACGGCTCTGCCCAACATGGATCGAGAAGCACGGGACCAATATCTGCTGGTGATCCAGGCCAAAGACATGGTTGGTCAGATGGGAGGACTCTCAGGCACAACGTCGGTGACGGTCACGCTGACGGATGTTAACGACAACCCGCCCCGTTTTTCACGGAGTATGATTCTTCCACCGGTTATAAAACAAACGTGGACCTGATCCATCATTAATGCATGCTGCCTTCCCATTTAATTTGCATGCGAGCAATCTGAGATTTTTAATGGCTCAGGCTGATCTTGTATTACAGAGATCAAACGCTCACTGTAGTTGCTGTGTAATTATCAGGTTGATGATCTTTTGAATAGAATGGAACAATCTTATTTTATAATAGAGGATTTTTTAGTTCATTGTCATAGTTATTTCTATCCCTATTTTTAGCTGCACGATACCATCACCGGCATCAGTATGTGTCCGGGAGTGTGTAGAGCTTAGTCTGTCCTCTTGCTTGCTATATCTATAGAGTGTAAATATTAATAAACTCCAAAATCCCAAGAAAACATAATGATTTAAAAACTTAAATATTCTTTATATCTTGAAAAACATTCTTTTTACTTTGAATAAAACAGCATTTCGGAATTTCTGGACCAGATTTGTGCACTCAAGTGTATTCAAGCTATATGGAAAGTATTTTATTACTTTTACTTGTCACAAGTGGTTATACCACTTGACATTTACACAGAGAAATTAGATTGAAATAATTGTAGAAAGGTTTTTCAAAAAAAGTATGCAATGAGCATGAATACAAAGATAATCTGTTTAAAAACTTATATTTTGAACTCTGTATATTGTGTATACAGTACAGTGTTTTATATTTGCACTGTGGTTTCCAGGGAAACTATGTAGGATAGAATTGACAATAAACTGACTCATTTTAAAACTATAGCTAAACGTTCACAAGTGCTGGATTTGGCTTTGTTGCACCCTCAGGGAAGTTATGTTTTGTCAGTGATATGACGGAGGCTCGGAAGGTAGTTTTCAATGTGCTGCATATTACAGCAGACAGGAGTGATAAATGACTATATGAGAAAGTATTCCACAAGACATTTTCGGCATCATGTATCTCTGTCTTAAAATCAATGTACTGCTTTGACACTGTTCTTTTCTGTCCTGTCAATCGATAACAATACTTAAATGAAATATAAGAGCTAAAAGGAGTGGATCAAGGGTTTTTGGATGTTTTATATACATACACACATCACTGCTAGATTTCATATGTGAACTCTGTTTATGACTTGCCTGGATGCTTACCACATATTCTCTGTCCTTGTTTATAATTTCAGAACTATTTCTAAACTTTTTCCTCTGCTCTCCCTCCCTCCTTTTGTGTTCTTTACCTCAGAATCTTGACTTTGAAACAAAGTCAAGCTACACTCTGAAAATTGAGGCATCCAACAGGAACATAGACCCACGGTTCTTGTCTCAAGGACCGTTCAGTGATACAGCGATGGTAAGACTGACTGTGGAGAATGTAGATGAGCCTCCTATCTTCTCCTCTCTGGTCCGCAAAATGGTCGTCTCTGAAGCTGCTAAAGTGGGAACCATCATAGGAACCGTCTCTGCTCTGGACCCAGACTCCACCAATAGCCCTATTAGGTAGGACATGGCCTCGAGGAATGACTTTACACCGCAATGATACTGGTTTTATGAAGGCAAGATTAAATCTTGAGAAAGACTACAGCATTTTTAATTAAAGCTTAAAACCTTAATAAAAAATAATACCCAATTTTGGTATCGAGATAATATCTAGTCAGACTTTAACTGAATTGCATTCTCCCCTTGTAGTCTAATATGTCTACGGATAGAAATCTGATCCCAGTTATCTGTGCAAAATGGCTTGCTAAAACTCGCATATAATACTGTTTAAAGGTTTGGGGGTTGGTAAGATTTTATGTTTTTGACTGTTATGCTCTCCAACACTGCACAAATTATTTGATCAAAAATACAATAAAACTGGGAATATTGTGAAATATTGTTACAGTTTCAAATAACTGTTTTCTGTTTTATTATTATTTTAAAAATGTAATCTATTCCTGTGATGGCAAAGCTGAATTTTCAGGAGCCATTACTTAAGTCTTCAGTGTCACATGATCCTTCAGAAATTATTCTAATATGCTGATTTGCTGCTCAAGAAAAAAAAAATCTTATTATAATCAATGTTGAAAAAAAATAACCCATACTGATCACAAACTTTTGAATAGTAGTGAACATAATATTATTCACATAGATGCATAAAGAAAATGCGTCACAGTGTGTCTTGAGTATACTTACACATTACATTACACATTTAATAGGGTCAAGTGCTATCTGATTTCAAGCCAATCACATAAACACGTTAATGTAAAACAGGCCTAAGATAATACATATGCAAGTCATTAGTGCTATTATTATTGCATTAAATAATTTTATTTGTTTACGTGGGAGTGGATGCAAATGTTGACTGTAAATGAGTTGTGGGACTCAGGTGTTTTGTGCTGAAAGACAAATGCTCATAATTAAGTTGTTCTGTGCCTAAGAGCCACTGAAAATAATGATCGCTGTTGGGGCTGTGACTTCAGGTCATATCTATAGAATTCATTTAAAAGTCAAAGCTTGAAATTCATTAAAACTTTTTTTCCCCAGGTATTCAATAGACAGAAACACAGATTTGGAGCGATTTTTCAACATCGAGGCAACAACAGGAGTCATCAGCACGGCTAAGCCTTTAGACAGAGAAGCCAATGCTGTACATAACATCACCATCCTGGCTATTGAAAGCTGTGAGTGACCTCAAATTATTGTTGAACTTGTTTATATGGTTGCTGTTATGGTTTGAAGGTCTTCTGAAAATTTGTGAAGGTTACACTGACAATACAGTAGTTATGTTTCTTGGCTGAAACAATGAATTAAACACAAAATACGATATGTGAAAGAGGCCCGATTTATGTACAGTAGATGTGCTGTGTTGTTCTTTTTAATTGTCCAACAATGTCTGCCAATTACAGAAACTGCTACTGCTTGATTTGTCCTTCATAAGTGAGCCATTCAGAGGGATCTTTTATTGAAAGATACCTTTACTGTTGGTTTGTATGGAGAAGTTTTGAGCAGCTGCATTTCGTTTTTTGCAATCTCAAATTCTATTAGGATGAAATCCTTCATACAATTTGAGCCTTTAATTTCACAATGAATATCATTATCCCAAGGCTGCTGGGGCTAATAGTTAGCGCTGCTCTGGGTGATCAATATTTCAAACCGTGTCCCTCGTGCATGTCGTGTCTGTCTATCTTGCCGCACGGCACATATAGCATAAGCGTTAAATCTGCGCGAGTGCTCTGGTCAGGCTGTGAACAGATGCTGCGCCGCTGAGGTGACCGCTGTCCACTGGCATCTCCAGAATCCGTGCAGCTTGATCGAGTCTTGTCCTGATTATAGCCGATGGGCAGAACTGCAGCTTCCTCTCCTGCCTAACTTTTGATGCTGATTTTCACCATGACCTTCACTCAAGTGCATCTGTTCTCTCGATCCCCTGAAGTCTTCGCACAGACAGCCATAACCATATTGACTTGAGTGATAGAGGGGAATAATATCCATCATGTGGTTACATTTTTAACCCATATCCATAAATGTGGACGCACTTAACCAAAGTTTGCAGGTTCGCCCTCATAGTCAATCAGTCATTGTCAGAGGCATCCACAGTCTCTAAAATGGGTTTTGGCAGAGAAGATTGAAATGTCCTCTTCTATTTGTCTGTAAGAATGAGACAGAGACTTGCTAGCTACCAAAAGGTATAGGCTCAAAGTCATTTGTTTTTAGGCGATGTAAGGTAAGGTGTTAATGGCCCTGAAAATCATAAAGGAGGAAAGAATTAATTTCTGAAAATGGATATTTTAGATTCTAAGGGCAACCAAATTTGAAAGGCACATTCAGAATAAAGTTGCTATGTGTGCCAGGATCTCTTCAGAAGCAGAAGAGAAATTACTATAAATGTGCCCACATAATCTATATTAATGTGCAATTTGCTATATTAGTTACTGTAAACAGCCTACAGTTAGGAGAATTTACTATATTACAGAAGCACTGTTTATTAATTGTTCCTAGAACAATATTGAAAAATTTTCAATATTGAACAATGTTTTGTTTATCTGTAATACATACTGCATTATGATTTTTTTCAGGAAACAATTAATTAGGGGGTGCATCTGCACAGAATATATATATTATTTATATAATAATAAGTAAAAAAAAACCACGAGTTATCATAGGCCATATTCCCACTGTTTTTACCCATTTGATATGACTAAAATAATAATCTAAAATAAATAATCATTATTATTAAATACAGTTATTAAACAAAAAAGAAATATATTGTAATAATACACTCTAAAAAATGCTGGGTTGTTTCAACCCAACTTTGGGTCAAATATGGACTAACCCAACCGTTGGGTTACATTTTTAAATAAAATTTTTAACCCAAAAGTTGGGTTAGTCCATATTTGACCCAAAGTTGGGTTGAAACAACCCAGCATTTTTTAGAGTGTACTATTACTCTAAAATAAAAATTAAATATGTATGTTGTGCAGCCTTAATTATTACTTATACCTTTAACTGTTTATTGAAGATTGGTCTTATTTATCATAGCACTGTATTTATAAAAACAACTTGCATTACCTTGAACAGACATTTTATATCAGTACATATTCACTGTTAGTCCACAACATTGCTTCCTGACAAATCTGAGTACCTGGAATGAGCCCAGTAATCTCAATAAAATGATTTCTCAAAACAGTCTTTATCTAGTAATCACAAATGACTGCCAAGGTCTTGGAAAAGTCAAGGAAATTCATTGGTCAAAAAAGTGTGGTGCTCCAGGTTCGCCCTCATAGTCAATCAGTCATTGTCAGAGGCATCCACAGTCTCTAAAATGGGTTTTGGCAGAGAAGATTGAAATGTCCTCTTCTATTTGTCTGTAAGAATGAGACAGAGACTTGCTAGCTACCAAAAGGTATAGGCTCAAAGTCATTTGTTTTTAGGCGATGTAAGGTAAGGTGTTAATGGCCCTGAAAATCATAAAGGAGGAAAGAATTAATTTCTGAAAATGGATATTTTAGATTCTAAGGGCAACCAAATTTGAAAGGCACATTCAGAATAAAGTTGCTATGTGTGCCAGGATCTCTTCAGAAGCAGAAGAGAAATTACTATAAATGTGCCCACATAATCTATATTAATGTGCAATTTGCTATATTAGTTACTGTAAACAGCCTACAGTTAGGAGAATTTACTATATTACAGAAGCACTGTTTATTAATTGTTCCTAGAACAATATTGAAAAATTTTCAATATTGAACAATGTTTTGTTTATCTGTAATACATACTGCATTATGATTTTTTTCAGGAAACAATTAATTAGGGGGTGCATCTGCACAGAATATATATATTATTTATATAATAATAAGTAAAAAAAACCCACGAGTTATCATAGGCCATGTTCCCACTGTTTTTACCCATTTGATATGACTAAAATAATAATCTAAAATAAATAATCATTATTATTAAATACAGTTATTAAACAAAAAAGAAATATATTGATTATGAGCCAGTGCCCAGGGGCGTCAGTTGTGACATTATAGTCACCGCCATGACAATGTGCTTAATAGCCACTGTCCGTGCCATCGACGCTGAGGTAACTTATCACCCGTTTTATTGTTTACAGCATTGTAAAGCAAGTTACGATATTCATCCAGCGATGGCAGTCTGCCTGGGTTTAATTCACGGTAGATCCCTCATCCTCTAAAAAGTCAAATTAATAGATGAATTAGCTCAAAGCGCATGCCGTTTCTCTCTCCCCGCCTGCAACTCAGCAGGTTTCCTGCAGGTGTGTACGGCATGAAGGCAGATGGGCTCTATATATCTTGGGCGGAAGATACTGGGAGGCGTGAGTCATATATTTACTAGTGCGGTTTTGTTGGGATATGCGTTTTCTCTAAACCAGAGCACTGTTTGGATTAGACAGTTAAGCTGAATTCTGCTAGCCTCGTAAAGAGACAAGCTAGTGTGGAACGTACAATAAATCACTTGGTTTTCGATGGAAATCAACTTCGAATGAGCCAGCATATTTCCAGCCCACTGCCGCTGCATGTTCACACCTGCAGAATAGGTTTATTTGTGCTCTCCATCAACTCATTTGGCTGAAGACCATGACCGCATTTTGTCCTCCTCAATGCCCTCGATATCATCGCCGCTGCCAAAATTATGGAAAGCTCATAATGACAAGGAAAGCTTGCAAAAATTCATAGCGATTTTGCCGATTAGCGCACAACTGAAATGCTCTTAATTGGTTTTGTAGTGCATTGTGAGCATGCACCGAATGTACTAGCAAACAGCAGTCATTCTACTCAAAGAATACGAGCAGCTGTGTCTGTTCTGGTTGACTAGAGGCAGTATGCCCTCAACAGGTGTTTGCTGTTGGCTTGTGCTTAAGCGCCAATACCATTTGAAATATCTACATTGCATAGTTACACAACAAAAATAACCTCACACCCTTGTGCAGTCTGTTAATTTGTTGATTGCCAAGTGCAGCATGCCTGGTGGTTGAAAATATCACCTTATTTGTTAAAAGTAGAACGAAAACACAAATCAGATGTGCGTTTAAAACGCTTATGTTATACCCGGGTCTTACCAGAAAGGCCCTTACATCTGCTGTTTTGGATCGGATTGCTGATAAATGGGATGATACTGCAATCGGCCTGTTTATTTTGACAGCTCAAATTTGATTCAAAGTCACATAAAACTCTATTGCGTGTATTGCAGCAGTAATTTTCCCGGAGTCTTTTTATGTTCCTCGGCACTCATGGGCACAGTGAGCAACACAAAAAACCCCAGCAGCTAATTCCTACTTCAGTTTCTTGTATTGCATCAATCGTTGTGACTTTCATTTCTAAGATTTACTCCTCACTGTGTCCTTTTATGCATACAAAGGGTCAAATTGTTAATGTAATCCAGCTTCTGAACAATTGTCAGATATAAATGATTTCTGATTTATTTCTCTGGACAAAATGAGCCGAGTGAACAAAGTTTAGGCAGCCACAGTAGGAGAAGCACTTTTGCAATCACTTGTAAGAACATCAATGGGAATATTTAAGTTGAGCTCTAAAGTTCAGGAGGAGCATGTTCATCTAATCCTGTCAGTCTCAATGCAAGTGTAGCTAAACGGCTCCTTAGCTCACTTTTATGACATCTGCTTCAGGCCCCCCCCCCCAAAAAAACCCTCCATCTCTACCTTTATTATAAATAGATACATAATGAATGTACTTCATTGTAATGCTTGTTATTTTTTTCATTATTTTATACTTAGTTATTTTTATTTTTATTTTATTTTATTTTATTATTTTTATATTTTTAACTGATTCAGATCAACTTTTTTTTGTTTTGTTTTGATTTGTGAAGTAAAATCTTTTCATAATACAAATAATTTAAATTCATAATTACAGAAAATGATGATATAATGCCTCAAGTGAGCAATCCAACAGTGGTCGGAACAATGGCAAGGCACATATTTAAATAAATGCAACCTATTAAATAATGTAACACATTTAAATAAATAAAACATATTGAAATAAATGTGATGGTGCCCTCATGTTTTTTCATCTATCAGCCTGTTCATGCATGCATATTTTTTTCTCTGTGATTTCAGTGGATCCGTCGCAGGTTGGGAAAGGAGTAGCTCTGATCACAGTGATGGACATTAATGACAATGCGCCAGTCTTTGCCATAGAGTATGAGACCTTCCTGTGTGAAAGCGTTGGACCAGGACAGGTATTTTGGCTCTTGATTCTTCATCAGAAAGGCTTTCATATCAAATGTGATTTCAAACCTGTATAGTCCAATAAACAGAAATAATTATTCTTGTCACAACATTTCTGATACTGGATTAAATTAATTGTGCAGTATTACTGTTGGAAGCACCTAATAAATGAGAATAGATCTCATTTTCAGATTATGTACTGCAGTGTGCAGCTTGTTGATTTGAACCAAGGTTATAATACTGTGTCTTTTATTTTAGTTTTTTTTTTTTTTTTTTTTCGCATGAAGTCTGCAGCTCAGTTTGATGTAATCTTTTAGTGGCACCTTCAGGCATATTTAAACAGGGGATGGGTTACACGTGCTGAGTGCTGCCCATTCTGCTTGTCAAAACAAACACTATCTACCTGCAGCACGCCAGTTACACCGTGTCTACACCGGATGCGACAGTTGTCTGTCTAATCTGGACGTGACAAAGCAACCGTTCCAAATCATTTTAATTTTGTGTCAGTATGTCATAAATAGAACAAGGCAGATTTGTTGTAGCGCCGCATCCAGTGTAGACAGCATCACTGATTGTAATAGGTTCTATAGTATTTTGCTGTGCCACACCACTCGCTTCCGGTGTAGACACGGTGTTATTATCAAGAACTTCATTTAGAATAAGACTTCAAAGTATTATTATTGTCTTCATCTTGTAGGTGTGTTACTTGAATTAGGCTTATCTGTTTAAATTCCAGACGAATAGTCTTGTGGTTTTTCTTGTTCCTTCAAAGTTCTGCAGTTTCATGATACCTGCCTCATGTGAGTTTCTGTGTTGCTTCACCTGTGCATGTCTGGCAGATTACTGACGTCTGTTGTCATTATCAGACGAGTGAAAAGTAACAGATCTGAGATCAGTTGAGAGCGGTGATGTCATGTCTTGTTAAGTGGGACTGTTGTTGACATTACAAGTGGCAATGCAGCCTTTGGCTTAAAATGAGGGAGTTGAGCCATGCATTTTCACATGCTATGACTGTTACCACACTGCCCCCTATCATTGTTTCTTAGTATTACAGGGAACTGTCGTTTTTTTTTTTTTTTTTTTTTTTTTTTATTAGTTTTTTATTTTTTTGTTTTTTTTTTTTTTTTTTTTTTTTTTTTTTTTCATTAGTTTATATGTATATTTTTCGCTGTCCTTTATCAGAAGCTCAACTAGAAAGATTCTGGACCCGGATCCATAGTCAGTAATGAGCAGCGAGAGCCACAGATGGACAAAATGATAACAACAGGATTCTGGTGGCTTTCTGCTGCAGATCACTCTAATCAGGGGATCAAAACATTGTGCGCTCATGCAGAAAAAGCTTTACACCGATGCAAATGAGACAGAGGTGACTGTGGCATGAAATTGGTTTGTTGGGGAGCGTGGCATTGTGTCAAGTAGCCAAATGTGAAGTCCTCCAGTAGGCAATTGCAGAACACACACACAAGCAAACCAATGGGTTCCTCATTTTCGAGTCAGCAACATGCCCTGATTCGAACACATTCTCTGTCGCATTCATATTCCAATGTTTGTCAGAACGTCATTACTAAGATGAATGTGGTATAAAGGGCATTACGAATGCCACATACTAAACACTTGCTATGAGTGCGTGGAGGAAACATTCTGGACCTTTGTTCAGTCCTAATGGGAATGATAAAAGCCACTGACAAATTCTGTGACGTGATGCACCATTGATCTTGAAAGCGCTGGGTAATGTCAGAGGACCAACACCAGTGGTGAAAACATGACTGATTCTACTCAACTAGAGGTGCCTTTCCTTTTAAGAGCATCTGCTGCATTACCGCTGTTATTCTATAAAAGCTACATGGAAAGAAGTTAATTTTTATGTTCTAATACTCTAATTTATTTTTTGATTCTGATTTTATTGTCTTGTAATTGCAACTTATATCTCACATATATCTTAAATCTGACTTCATATCTCATAACTGCACATTTATTTCTCTTAATTTGCAACTTCACATCTCCCAGTATTTAGCATATTTCAGATGTTATCACTATTGCGACTCTGTATCTCCCAGTTGTGACTATTTGACATAATTCTGACTTCATCTCACAATTGCGGCTTAATATCTCCCAGTTGTGACTATTTCTCATAATTATGACTTTTTCTCACAACTGCGACTTCATATCTGACAGTTGTGACTATTTCTCATACAGTAATTCCAACTTTATCTCAAAGTTGCGACTTAATATCTCATAGTTGTGACTATTTCTCATAATTCTGACTTTATCTCACAATTGCAACTTCATATCTCATCATAGTTGAGAATATTTCTCATAATTCCAACTTTCTCACAATTGCAACTAAATATCTCACAAGTGTGACTATTTTTCGTAATTCTGACTTTATCTCACAGTTGTGGCTATTTCTAACTTCGTAACTCTTACTATTTCACACAGTTGTGGCTATTTCTTACACAGTAATTCTGACTTTATCTCACAGTTGTGGCTATTTCTTACACAGTAATTCTGACTTTATCTCACAGTTGTGGCTATTTCTTACACAGTAATTCAGACTTTATCTCACAGTTGCGACTTAATATCTCAGTTGTGACAATTTCTCATAATTCTGACTTTTTCTCACAATTGCGACTTCATATCTCACAGTTGTGAATATTTCTCACAATTCCAACTTTCTCACAATTGCGACTTAATATCTCACAGTTGTGACTATTTCTCATAAGTCTGATTTTATCTCATATTTACGACTTCCTATCTCACAACTGTGACCCTTTCTTGTAATACCGACTTAATATCTTGCAACTACAAATTTATTTTTTGTAATCTGTAATTTATTGTTATCTGTACATCTGTATCTGTAATCTATTATAGCTTTTTTGTAAATGCGACTGTCTAAAGACTGCAGGTTTACAGTATGTAATTGTGATTATTTCTTGTATTTGTGACTATATTTCACAATGTGAGTTTCTTTTAAACTGTATAATCAGAAACAGAGTAAGAAACAAGCTTCCATAGAAACCCTACTTAGTAATTGTAATTGTTTCATTAGATCTTTGACAGACGGTGTTTGTTTAGAGGAGAGTTAATAGTCAAGCATTTGTAGAGGTGTTTGAAATTCCTACTCACTCAATTACAGTGTTGTTTTTATTAGTGTATCGGAAATTGACTTGATCTGATCATTTCTTTTGGGAGCAGTGAAAGAATACTGAAGGATATTTTTCTTTTTCTTAAGAAAAATAATCCCTCCCACAAGAGCTCTCAAAACAAAGAGAGAACAGAACAAGGCAACAGGGTTTACTGAGCATGAGATACAATCCCCTGTAGTGGCATGATTGTCTGGGCCATAACAATTAGTCCTGGCCTGCCTGTGTCCCAGAGTCACAGGGAACCGTGTTTGTTTTGCCTAAGTGAAAAGGTGCTGGTGGGCTCTTTTCACAAATGCTATCTCAGCCTTGAAACACATTACCATAGTCCCTCAAGAACACTCTCTATGTGTTTTGGACACCCCAGACTTCCATCACTTCTAACTTTCAGAGCTCTCTCTCATATTAGAGGCTAAATTACTTTCCCGCCTCTCCGAGGAACAGTAGAACGGTCTCTCTTTCTCTGAATAGAGATGAAAGTGCCTGTATGTTTTCATAATGATATAGTTTCCCCTGTGATTCATGTTCACTTCCATATCTTCAGCCATGGGAGCACTTGAGCGATGCTGCAGTGATAGTCAAATGCTGTCTCGATAGCGCGGATCTCTCTTGTGATTCTTAGCACGATGAGTCTGTCCTTATAACAGCCCTTAAACCGTTGTACCTGCAAAACAGAGGCTCTCAGACATCCTGGAGTGCTTTTGGAGACCTAATCTGAAAGTCAAAGCCTTTGAGTGAGGCGTTCTGGAGCTGTTAGACAAATAATTTTGATCAGACAGAATGTTTGCCGTGAGGCACAATATCATCAACAAACAGTGATGGCACTTTTACGTTCTTTGTCACTTCAGTGCCTTGCAAAATAGTCGCAAATGCTGTTTGCTTATTTGCGTCTGAGGCGAAATAGGCTCTTTTTCAGCCAGCCTTCGTGCCTGTTGTTACACTGTTATCTACGAGTGTCTTCACTTCGTTGTTTTCATACGCCTCATCTGCACATTTGTATATTTAGAGCTTCACACCTGCTCCATCAAGAAGCCAGACGCTCTGAAAGAGACTGTATGGAGCTCTTGAATTTGAATGAACTCCTCAGAATTGCCTGGAGGAAGAATGAATCGTTGCATATAGTTGCGGGAAAACCTGTTGCCAGGATTTGAGAGCAAATGAAACCAGGTTTTGAGTGCAAATTAAATTTTTTTTCACTTCTTTCCTACACAGAGAGAGCAAAAACTACATCATTTCAAAGTAGGGGTTGCATCAATAACTAGTCGACAAATCGATCAAATAGTTTTGTGTTCACTTGATCCCAATCAGACATGTGATCTTGCATTAAAAAGCAATTAGTGCAATGTAACGAACCAGAACACAGGGGTCTCAATATGCATTTAAAAAAAAAAAATTGGTCTAATTTTCACTTGTTACAATGTCATCAAAATGCAAAACACTAATAAAATTAAAAATAATAAAAAATAGCTTTACCTTTAGCATTTTTAAAATGGTAAGTTTGATTGTATTAATTATGACTAGATTATTTAAATCATATTAATCAAATTATTTTTATTTGAAAACACTATTAGAGTATTGTTAATATCTTATTTTCATTAGCAGTATTGTTTAATTAGTGCATTTTTGTCTTCACTATTGTTGATGATTCCGTAACTTTTAAAGAATGGCCTCTAAAATTCTGAAAACTCTAAAAATATCTAGATTAAGTCAGTTGTTGGATGACTAGGCGATCATAATCACCCATCCCCAATGTACATGATACGAGAGGGAATATTCCCCATCATTGCATCCGAGTCTAAAACAGATGGCTTGTTGAAAAAGGTCCCCAGATCCCCATCCAACAAGTGCCTGTTATGGGGTCACAGGCACTAAACGTATATCTTCACCGTCGTTTCCCAGCACAAAGCTCTTTTCTCTGTGCCCTTGGTTTCTCTTTTGTTCCTAATATGACTTTTTGAATTTAATAGAACCTTAATATGAATTGAAGCTGCGGTCTCTAAATGAGCCAGGTGATTTGTTGCAGGTGATTTAGCAGATTAGATTATGAGGAGTGAGTGTTTTCCCAGGGGTTTTTATCTCTTTAAGGTCGTCTATATTCTGTCTTGTTTCCTTATGCCTCAGAGACATGGTCAGCTGTGGCAGGCTGAGAGACTGGTGTTTTAAAGCGCTCGTGACTGCTAACTCTCCACGGGCGGTTTCACTACGGTGAAGATTTTGCCCTCTGTAAAATCAGGTGGCACAGGAGACATTCCTTGCCCTCCAGCCATTTTTACATGTACTGCAAAAAGGCTTAAATCACCCATATTTTTCCATAAAATGTGCTTCTTGGCTGCACAAGAGCCATTTTGTGTTTTTACACTATTATTCTAAAAACGATTTACTTTTCAACATCTCCCAGGTTGGTAAATGCGGAATCAGGGTTGGTTTTAGACGCTTTGCCTTGGCAACATGTTCTTATTCATTTTAAATGAACCCATTGCCTCAATGATTTTATCAATACACTTTGCATTCGCCTTAATGGACTATCTGTAATTAATTTTGTCACAGTTTACTGTAATCAGCGCTCGGTGCTGAGAGAACATCCTGCTCTGCTTGTGTCATTTATGCAGGTTTTTAATAGCGCAACGTTTTACGATTTCAAAAATATTTACAGATAAATCCGTCAGAGTTTCCATTGCCAAATACTCACTTAGCGTAAATGGAGGGTGGTGTTAAAAATAACTGAGTGGAGAATTAAAGCGCTGAAAATCTTTTGGTGAGTACAAGGTCATATTCCTCGGACGAATGAGGAAATGATACAGGAGTGTCCGTTAGCCACCGCTCCGCTGCATTTATCCTGTGCGTAAGGTTTTAGGAGATTTTTCAAGCAGATTGAGTTTGTGCTGCCTGCAAGGGAAGAGCTGTGCACACAGTATTTAACCCAGCCAAAGCCCACAGATTAGGCCACAACAGTGTGTCAGGAGAATCTTCTTAGTGTACCACCTGATGGGTCACCCTGATATTCATCTCTAAAGCGCAGCACTTTGCCCAGCTTTGGGGGTTTCGGTCCAGATTTAGACCGGGATGGCCCTCTACTTTGCTAAATCCCTGGATACCGTACGAGCATCGCCTCACACTGATAGCTTCCTGGTCAATCCTCCTAATGTTGTTTTCAGCATGATTTAAACTTGTGAATTGTGTATTTTTTTCCTCTAAGTTCACCACATAGAAATCGGCTGATGGTTGATTTTTTTTTCTGTGTTAAAACATAAAATGTGGGCATCAATTCAACATGTTCAATTAGTTAATTATTATATTGAAATTGCTAGGGTCTTGAGGTCAATTTTTAAAAGATAGTTTTTTAATTGTCTCACAGTCTTTAAATGTGGCTCTCATGTCGGAAGATGCTAAAAAAGCCAGCGAGACACAACACAACTGCCAAAGATGTTTGTCTGATGTATGTGTACATAAACCAATAAACAAAAAATTGCAAAAAATTGTTGTGGATGGTAAAAAATAACCTAGAACTATTCAGTAGCATCTAAATAATTAAAGCAAGTAAAAAATATTAGTTTGTTTGACTGATTCAGTTTGATTACATTAGGTTACATGAACAAAAGCAGTAATGGTCAGGTCAGGTAGATATAGCTATTTGAAGAAGCTGTGAATATCTTTGTACAGTGTATGTTCAATTATATGGAAATAAAATATTCTTCATTTGAAAATTGACTTCATTCAATAATCATAATTAATGGGCTTATTCAGTGTTTCAACCTGTAATGTCTTAAATAATCTTACATTTGGGGATTTTCTGAGCAAATATTGATATATGCTATTAATTTCAATTATTATTTTACTAATTAATAAACATATCAAGTAATTGATTCCAGTCATGAAATACTGAGGTTTACCTATAATCTCAAACATTCATTATTATGGCAACACTGCAGTGTTTTGAGCGTGAGAACTTTGGATTATTTTGTCTGGAGCGAGGCAATAACAGCAGTATTCATCTTCCTGTTCTTTACTCCCTCTTTGACACTGTCTTAGGTCATTGAAACCATAAGTGCAGTGGATAAAGATGAACCACCCAGCGGGCATCGCTTCGTCTTCTCCCTCACTGCAGAGACAGCTGGGAACATGAACTTCACCCTCCGAGACAATAAAGGTACGTGATTTCATTAAGACTAAGTTTAAAGTGAATCCTTGAAACTCAGTTCTTATTCCTAATAAGACCAAAAAGACTTCATTTTATCTATTCGTATGAGTCATTTTTTCACTTTTCACATGATATCTTTCTCTTTCTCTCTGCAGACAATACCGCTTCTATTCTAACTAAGAGGGGTGGTTTTCAGAGGAGGGAACAGTCTATGTATCGACTGCCGGTGTTGATAATGGACAGTGGGACCCCTGCTCTCAGCAGCACTAACACGCTGTCTGTTAGAGTGTGTGACTGTGACCCTGATGGGACGCCCCAGTCATGTGGCACAGAGGCCTTCACGCTGTCAGCTGGACTCAGCACTGGAGCTCTCGTCGCCATCCTGGCCTGCATCATCACTTTACTTGGTAGGAAATACATTTAACCCTTGTGAACACATAAAGCAATGTTTAAAGGTATAGTTCACCCAAAAATGCATTTACCCATCATTTACTCACCCTCATGTCTTTCCAAACCTGTATGACTGTTTGTATAAGACAGAACTATCCCTTTAATAAGCCTGTATAATGAAATGAACAGAGTTTGACAAAGTGCTGCATTTCTTTGTTTGCTTGCCAAACATTTCCTCGGTCTGCCCATAGATGTGATAAATGGACAGTCCCACCTCAAAATCACACCATTGGTTGAACCAGTGTTGCTTTGTCCTGCTGGTCAAGATGCACAACTCAACATGCAAATGTTTTTTTATAAAACAGCATTTAGCTTTTGTAATGTGCATTATTTTAGAGTAAAAACTGAATATTCAGCAAGAAAGGATGTAGGCTTGTTCATCAGGGTTTGATTTGATTGAAGAAAAGAAAACTGTTTCAAGGGCTGAAACGTTACATTTTGTTAAACATGATGAAAATACTTTTTCAAAATGCACTACTGTTCAAATGTTTGGGGTCAGTAATTTTTTTTAAACTTTTGTTCAGCAAGTATGCATTAAATTGATCCAAAATGACAGTAAAGACTTTTACATCCTTACAAAAGAAGATTTCTATTTTAAATAAAACGTATTTTAACATAGATAATATTATGTTTCTTGAGCCTCAAATCAGCACATTTCAATGATTTCTGAAGGATCATGTGATACTGAAAACTGGAGTAACGGCTGCTGAAAATTCAGCTTTGCCATCACAGGAATAAACTACATTTTGAAGTTCACAATATTACATTTTATTTTATTAATCTATCTTTAAATTAATGCAGCCTTAATGCAGAGATTTCTTTCAAAACAAACAAAAAAAGACCCCACACCTTTGAACAGTAGTGTGTTTTGATTTATTTATTTTTATTTTTTGAAATAATGTGACATGGGACATTTATTAATAAAGCATAGGGTTGATTTTGATTTCATGTTGTCTTTAAGACAAAGCTACTGTGCTTTCTGAATGCAGCTTGCAGTCAAAGGATATTTGTCCAATTTTTGTTAATTTTGTTGTAATTTTTAAGAGCTTTATTGCATTTCCACCTCCCCCGTACTGACATTTAGCACACAGTCGGGCTGCCGTTACTTTTGAAGTGTTGGCACGACAGCTCCAACAGTTGGGACGCGGCGTGCGCTGAGAGGTCTGCTTGGCCACAATTGACTTGTTTACCCTCTCCAGGGAGGCTGCTGGTCTGTATGATTACTTATTATTTGGAGCCTTATTAGCTGATTGTTTGATGAGTGACCTCTACCCAATATGTACCATTCACTTGGTCTGATTGGTTGACTGGCGAGTCTTTGTGTTGATTTGCTGACCTGAAGACTGCACAGAGGGAGTGAATGCAGTCCTGATGGTTTGATTGATTTCTTGATTATACCATTGATAGGTTGTCTCTCTGGCTGTGCTGGCGGTGTGGAGATCTGTCCACGGACACAACCAGAAGTCTATTTGCTGACAGATGTTGTCTCTGTCTTAAAAAAAGAGTGCTGTTATTGTGACAAGACGGGAATTTGTGTGTGCACACACACATCTTGAACCGAGCCTCAGTCATTTCCATTGTTTGATTACTCTCATCCATTGTTTGAGGACTCTCATTTTTTTTTACTGACTGCACAGATGACGAATAAGTAACAAAGGAAGCTCTGTCTGCTTCCCTGGTGCCATTACATCTAAGTATGAACTAGTTCATTTCTATCTCCATAGAGACGTTACAACTAAATGGTAGATCTGAAATAATACACCGCAGTGAAGCCAAGTGCAATATGTTTCAATTTCACGTTCCTTAAGAACTCTGCTGTTCTTACACATGACTTGGAGCACCATATATAACATCACTTCAAAAAAATCATTTTCTTTTCCAGTAAAAAAGAAAAAAAAGAGGAATTTTTCAAAATTGCACAAGGCATTAAGACTTGATTTCAGAGTTTATTTTTCTTACCCCACTGGCAAGCAGCTTTTTTCATGGTTTTAGCATAAATATACTGAAGAAAAACAACTTAATAAATGGGTTAAAACATAAATTTACACTGCAGTTTAAAACTTTGGTATCTGTAAGATTTTGAAAGACACTCACCAAGGCTGCATTTATTTGATCAAAAATACAGTAATATTAGTATTAGTAACATAGAAGTATTTTGTAACAGTAGCATTGTAATAGTAACAGTAGTATTTTGAAATATTCATACTTTTCTATTTGAATATAATTTAAAATGTAATTTATTCCTGTGATGGCAAAGCTGAATTTTCAGCAGCCATTACTCCAGTCGTTAGCCTTACACGATCCTTCGTGATCTCTCACAATTTCTTGTTGTTCTTCTTATTTTATTTATTTTTTTTGTGAATTGTGATTTGTGTTTTTTCTGGATTCTTTAATAAATATAAAGTTCAAAAGAACACTGCTTATTTATAGAAAACTTTCCTAACATTATAAATGTCTTTCTGTCACTTTTGTGATCGATTGAATGTGTCCTTGCTGAAAAACGTATAGAAAAATCTTTGTGACCCCAAACTTTTGAACGGTCATTCAAGAGAAATTCTCTGAATATAAGAAAAAATTGTAATATCTTGCACAGCTTTTCTTCTTAATTCGCATATTTTATCTTTTTTTAAAGACATATTGGATGTTTTTACTCGACAACACAAAAATACTCATTAAGAAATGTTTTTAGAATTTATTCTTGCATTGCGGTCCTTCCTCAGGTTCAACAGGAACCTGAGAAAAATGCCATCTAAACTAAAGAGCACAGCTTGTGGCCAACAGTAACAGACTCAATCCTTGTGTTGATTGATCATTGTCTCTAAGCATTTATCATCTGAATGTGAGCTCAACTAACAGCTGCAACTGATGTGCAATAGTCATTCCTGTGGTTTGCCGTCTCGTGTGGATGTAGGGTTCTCCAGTGCCGCCACCCCCACCCCCCTCTCCTCCCAAACTACATGAGTTGGATTAGACCACTGCGCTGCCTGATCTGAGCAATGCCGTTATTTTTGGCAAAGAGAGTCCGGCCCCAGGGGCTCGAGACTGCTCACTCATGGTTGAGGGGAGGAGGAGACGGAGGAGGAGAGCTGCGGAGGGAAAAAGAATCTTCTTTTTCTGCTTTTATCTTTTTTCGGAGTAATGAATCAACAAGCTTTTTGCCTGCTGTTGCTTTAGTTATCAAAGCAGTGCACAACTGAAACCGTGCCAGGGAATGAATGATACACAAGGACATGTCAGCTTTGAGTCTTTTGTCTTTTTTTATCTAACAACATGCAAACGACTTTCTCCATTAAAGGAATTGTTCACCCAGAAATTAAAATGCTGTCATATTTACTCACCTTCGTGTTATTTCACCCCGCATGACTGTTTTTCATTCGTTGCACATAAAAGATGTTTAAAAGAATGTTCATGCTGCATGTACACTTTAAAAAAAATAAAGGTTCTTAGTTGGCTTCGATGTTTTCGTGAAGAACCTTTCAATTCTTCAAAGGTTTCAAATGTAAATTGAAACCTTTCCATTGCACAAAAGATCCTTTATAGTGGAAAAAGGTTCTTTAGAATCTTTTAGAATCTTCAGAAGTTCTTTAGAATTAAAATGTTCTTCACACTAAGGAAATAAACTGTTCACTGAAAGGTTTTTAAGGAACCCAAAATGGTTCTTCTGTGGCATCGCTGTGAAAAACCCCCTTAAGAACCTTTATTTTTATTGAAAGTGGATGGTGACTAGAAGATATCATGCTCCAAAAAGAACAAAAAACATCATAAAAGTAGTCCATGGCTTATACACTATGTTCCGAGGCTTCTGAAACCACATGATAGCTTTGTGTGAGGAAATAGTCATTATCCATTGAAAATCCTACATTGGCAGTTGGTCACCATTCACTTTCATTAAAAGGAAAAGAGCACCTTCTTGTTCTGCTATAAATAATTCTTCTAGAATTCCACACAAAAAAAGAAACTCGTATACCTTTAGAACAACATGGGGCGAGTAAATGATGACAGATTTTCAGACGGACTCTCTATTGCATGCTTGCCTAGTGTCGTTACAACATCTCAGTTGCGCTGTCAAGCCCAAACATTGATAATGGTTCATAAAATATTTGATAGGAAGAAAACAGAGTTCAAAAGGAGGGATCCGACCAAACTGCTGTGGTAAACACATGGCTATTTATCAGTGTTTGCATAAAGTAACCTAAAGGATTTCAGGAGCGCATATCACATGATGACAGTGTCGCTCTAGTTGCTCTGAGGGAAACCTTGTGCTCATTATTTCAGGCTTAGGTGGAGGAACACAGAGAGGTCAGGTAAGCCCGAGGCACTCTGATACATTCATGTCCACGGGTCACCCTCGTAACGGTGACATCACCTTTTCAATCTCTGCTCGACCGATTGCGGGGCATCTTGTCTTCCAGGCGTGCTTCCCCTATGGCCTCCGACAGTGCAAGTGGACGGCAGTCAGTAATACTTATGAGGGCCCTTAAGGCGATGTAGTGTGCTCTTGCATCACCCAGAATAAATCATATTTTATTTCGCAGATAATGTCGCCACTGTGAAAACCCAGGGACAGACAGGTGTCATAAAGCACAAACACCTTGTGTTGGGCAGCGGCATAAATGTCAACAGCCAGATAGATCCGCATATCGCCAGTATATCTTGATTAGTCTTCACTGCCCTGGGCTATTGGCAGTAGTTGAGATATGTGAAGGGAACGCATGAGAGCGAGAGAAAGAGAGGGAGGGAGCGAAAGAGAGAATGAAGGGCAGTGCATAATCTAGTAGTCGCTGCCTCATTTTTAGGAGGTCGATGAGAACGAGGCCCCCACAAAATATCCCACTTGTTGTTTCATTGATTCTGGATGACGGATTGTTTTCTCAATCCAATTACTGCAAATTGAGGATAATGTTAAATTGATCTGCTGCTCCCGATGAACATCCATCTTGTGTCAAAACTGCAGAGA